ATGCCACTGGCTTCTGACCTGCAAAGTTTCTGCAAAGTTATTTTCTACTGATAATAAGATAATAAGATTATCTACTGATAATCTTAATTTGGGTTCCCTTGGACATAATTTATTTTTCTCTTTACTCTTTTAAGATCCTCTTCTTGTCTTTAACTCTTGACAATTTAATTGTAATGTAATCTGGTGTGGGTCTCTTTGGGCTTATCTTTGGAAGCCTCTTGGCTTCTTTGATCTGGATGCCAATTTCCTTTCCCAGGTTATGGAAGTTTTCAGCCATTATTTCTTCAAAGATACCTTCTGCCCCTTTCTCTCTCATTTCTCCTCTGAGATCCCTAGAATCCGAATGCTGGTCCACTTGATACTGTCTCATATGCCACCTTCACCCTTTTTCATTTTTTTTTTCTGCTCTGATTAAGTGGGTTCCAACTGACCTGGATTAGAGTTTGCTAATCCTTTCTTCTCTATTTTTCAGCACAGTTACTGTGTTCTTTAGTTCTGTGATTTCTTTTAGTGCTTTCTTATATTTTCCATCTCTGTTGAAATTTCCCCTTTGTTCATTCATTCTTCTCCTAAGCATGATGAGCATCTTTATAACCATTATTTTGCAATCTTATTGGGTAAATCACTTACCTCTGTGTCAGTAAGGCCTTTTCTGAGGTTCTATCTTGTCTGTTAATCTGGAACATATTCCTCCATCTTCCGTGACCCTCTGTGCTGGTTTCTGTGTATTAGTTAAAACAGCTGCTTTTCTCAGTCTTGAAGGTGTGACCTTGTGTAGGAGACAAACCTTATTGTTCAACCCTGCCCTGGCTCTTGGTTGTGTCTCAAACCTTTGTGATTGTCCGGACTGTCTATTCTTGGTGGCTCCCAGGAGCTGAGGCTGTACCAAGACTTGTCAGTGTCCCAAAGGGGAGGATCCTGGTCAGTATCTAGATGCAGCCTGATTGAAAGCCAGACTCTTTGGCAACAGCATTTAAAGTATATAAATATACCTCTTTTGGAGAAGGCTGAGAGATGGGCATCTTCTCTGCTCCTTTTTCACTAAGCCCGGGGTAGTAGCCAGTGAAGAATTGTGTCTTTGTTTACTACCATCCTGTTGAAGCTGTGAGCCCAAGCCCCACTGGCTGCCAGAGCCAGGCTATCAGGGAATGTGTCCTCTGGGCAGAAAACACAAAAGCTAGGCAACAGACATGTACACAGTCTTTTCTATTCTTTTATTTGAAAACAGTTTCCATTTTACGAGTTTGTAGAAGAAGAGCTTAAGACCCTGCTGCTCATCCAGTGTCCTGAGCACTGGGAACCACAGGCCAGTCCTCAATGGCAGGCTGGGACGCTCCAGTCCCCGGTGGGGAGCTGCTGAGTAGGCTCCGAGGGCACCCGCTTGCCGTCAGACCAGTCTGCCACCTCAGGGTGAACGGCAGTGAGCCCCAGAGCTGGAGTGGTCCGTGCTCCCTGAAATCCCTCCTTGGTCACAGCCTTCTCAGCTGTTGCCTGCTCTTCCTGTTCAGTCTCTCCAGGATCTCTGAAGATGCAGAGATCAGGAGTGACCTCCCATGGGTGTTCGCTGGGGACTGTGCCATGCAAGTGCAGAACTTTCCAGGCGGGCACCCCCCACATCAGACCCACTGAGTGAGCTCCCTTGTTGCATGGGACAGCAGTGTCCACATGGCACAGAGCAGTCTGTATTACACAGAACAATGACAGGCAGGTTACCGTAGATCCTCTCACAGAGGCTGACAGTCAGCCCTAAACCGGTAACCACCAGGCCTCTTTGCTCCTGGAAGACCATCAGGATCTGGTTAGGGAAGGTGCCTGGAGTGAGTGGCCAGCAATAGGAGTGGCTCCAGTGGCTGCAGTAAACTTCCTGAAGGATGTGACGCTGACATCAGCTGAGTTTTTAGTGATAGCAGTGGCACAAGCTGCCAACAGAAGCTTCTCTGAAGTTCCCTTGAGATTTATGATGCCATCACTTTTCCTTTTGTAGATGTACTGTTCCATTTGGAAGTTAAGGTTGATGCCACCTAAATGGGTTCCTGCAGGAATTTGAGGATATGCTCCTCCTTCATTTGCAGTACATCAAGGGTTCCAGGTATCATGAAAGTTTCCTTTTAAGTTATGCTGGGAATCCAGAACAATGCCATATGGACCCTGTTTGGATAGCACAGAAAACCCACAACTTCCTTTCTTGGAGACAGCGATGACCTCAAGCAGGGCAGAGAGTAAGCTTGAAGATGGCACCCACCAGCCTCCCTGGTCTCTGGAGAGGATTGCACTCAGCCCCACAACGTGTGTGTGCTCAGCGGTATCCAACTCTTTGCAACCCTATGGACTGTAGCCCACCAGCCTCCTCTGTCCATGGAATTTTCCAGGCAAGAATACTGGAGTGGGTTGCCATATCCTCTTACAGGGGAATCTTCCCAACCCAGGGATCGAAACTGCTTCTCTTGGGTCTCCTGCATTAGTAGGCAGATTCTTTTACCACTAGAGCTGCCTGGGAAGCCCCTAGATACAGGTTTAATGAGAACTCTGCTCTTTAGGCTAGAGCTTGAAGGTCAGTCAATAGGCCCCTTTCAAAGAGAGAAGGGGGTTAGTTTCAGTCTGCCGGGTCTGCTCTGTGCCCTGGTGGCAGCTGGCCAAGAGCTGTCCCTCTGTTTGTCCCAGTCCCCTGAGACCCACAAACACAAACCCACTGGCCCCTGGAGCCAGGGCGTCCAGGGGCATCCCTGGGGGTCAACCACAGAAACCAGGGCACCAGATGTGAAAACCAGGGAACCAGATGCGAAAACTGGGGCACCAGATGTGTACAGCTCCTCTCTGGGAGGTCCGTGCCCTCTGGAACACGGCAGAGGACAGTGTGAGGACGGTGCCTGCCCTCCAGGCCTCTGGGAAGGATTACAGTCTCCATAGACATGTTGTTAGCAGTCTGCCCCTCAGGCTTTAGCTGTGGAGATGAGCTGACAGCCCTTGGTCTGCTGTCTCTACTGTGTCTGTTGAAACTTTCTCCATTTATTGCAGTTCTGTGGGACCCCCAAGCATCAGCCCACTGGCCAGCAGCGCCAGGCAATCAAGAGGTGTCTCCTGGGTGGCAGCTGCAAAAATTGGGGTCTCAGATGAGGGCGCAAGCTCAATAGTGGCAGCGTGGAGTGAGGCGGAGAGGGAAGATGGCCCCTGCTGGCTTGCAGAGAGGGCCCTCTGAACACCAGAGGGTGTCAAGCTAGAGGCCGGCCCCTCAGATCAATGCTTCAAGCTGAACAAGCCTCTTTCACAGAAAGTCTGGGCTCTTTTCAGCCACTGTCCTTGTGCCAGGTCCTGGGAGGGTGAGCAAGTTCATGCTCCCCTTCACAGCTATTTCTCAGATTATGACAGCCTCATGTATCTTGTAGACAGCTCCAGCGAATTTCATAGTTACATGTTTTGAGGACTCATTTCCCAAGTGAAAGTCTTGAAAGTAGGGATGCCAGATGTGAGGTTCAGACCCTTCACTTCTCAGGGAGCAGCTTTGGGATGGGAGTTCCCTCCCGATTGTGGGTCTCCATCTGAGGGTGGGGTGTATGGTGAGACTGTGTCTCAGCTTCTAGTACCCACTTCGATGTGAGTTTTTTCTCACTCATCCAATGTACTAGGGGTTATTTAGACAATTATGGGGTCTTTTATTTTTTTCAGAGGAAATTATTCCATATGTAGCTATAGACTGTATGTCTATGGTAGGAGAAAAGTTCAGGGTCCTACTATGTGACCATCTTGAAACAGAGCTTCAAAATTAAAAACCTTTGTTTTCATAGGATACTATCAAGAAAGTGAAAAGACAACCCACAGAATGGAAGAAAATATTTGCAAATCATATATCTGATAAGAAACTTGTGTCCAGAAAAGAGAAATAATTCCCAAAATTCAACAGTAAAAAATGAGTAACATTTTTTCTACAGAAGAAAAAACGAACAAATGGGTAATAAGCATGTGATTTTCAATGTCTTTCTGGAACTGTGGGTCAGAACTGCAATGAGAGGCCACTTCGTTCCCACTCAGATGTGAAAAAGATATAAAAAATACTGGCAAGGATATGGAGAAGCTGGAATTCTCATGCATTGCTGGTGGGAATGTCAAATGGTGCAGTCACTTTGGAAGACAGTTTTGCAGTTCCTCAAAAAGTTAAATATAGGATTACTTTATGGCTCAGAAATTCCACTCCTTGATATATACGCAAAAGATTTGAAAACAGGTACTAAAAGAAACACTTGTACATGAATGTTTGGAGCAACACTATTCATAATAGACTGAAAGTGATAATAGCTCGTCAATAGATGAATGCATGAGGAAATGTAGCCCATTAATACAGTTCAGCAATACAAAGGATGGAGCCCTGATGCACACTATAAAGTGGGTGGATCTTGAAAACCTCACACTAAGGGAAAGGAGGCGAACACGAAAGGTCACATGCTGCACGACACCTTGTACAAAATATCCAGAGTAGATAAATCTAGGGACAAAAAGCAGAGAGGTGGTTTCCAGGAGCTGAGGTGAGGTAGGTTGCAGATGAGGAACCACTTCCTGGCAGAGGGGCTTTATTTTGGGGTGATGACAGTGTTTTGGAGCTAAACAGAGGTGGGCATGGTTGCACAGCATTGTGAATGGATTAAATGACACTGAACTGTTCACTTTCAAATGGTTAATTTGACATCATATTGATTTAATCTCAATAAGAACACTTAGGATAGTGATTGCCTGCAGAGCTATAGTGACCAAAGTGAATCTCTGAGGGGATTCTGGATTGCTGGTGATGCTGTTTGTTAATCAGGGTGTGGAATATACAAGTAAATTCAGAATGTGAAAATTCATTGAGCTGCATACACACCATCTGACATTTTGCTGGATATTTATTGTAGATCTATAAAAAGCTAAAATGAAAAAAAAAAAAAAAAAAGCATGCCCCAGACAGTGCCTGGGGCATCAGATAGGTCTGTAGCCCTGCACTGCACTTCTGGGCCTGCTCCTTCCCTCACCGTTTTGGAAGCACCGTTTGCGGGGCGGAGGCAGGCATGGCTCCTTCTCACCAGGAGCTGATCTGATTCTGAGGAGGGTTTCCATGCTCCCACTGGAGACATCACACCACAGTTCAGTCCTCAAAGACAGGACCCGGTTGTCAAATCCTAACGAAGATGCACCAGGCAATGCATTGAGGAAGGATTTTATGAGAAAACACATTGAAATTGGGCTTTAGCCCTTAGTATTTGAGAGATTCTTTCTGCCTTGTTTATTAAACACCATGTTAACTGATCAAATATCCTCTCAAACCTTTTTTATGGCAGTTCACAGTGTTTTCTCCAGTTGAGTTTTTTGTGGCAGCTCAGGCCACATCCTGTTCAGAGTGGGGTCCCTCGAACCCTACGAGGACATTCTGTCTGCATTTGTACGACAGCCCCTCATGTCAAGGACCCTGAGAAGGAGCCGTGGCCCCACAGGCTCCCAGGTCTCAGAACAGAAGGCGCTCACGGAGGGTGCACCCGTGAACAGGGCCCTGCCCTGCTCCCCAGGTTCTGGCCCCTAAGGTCTCCTCCAGGCCCTCAGAAAGCCAGTCTCATTCTGCCTTAAGGTCTATGTTTGCAATGTCATCCCTGCTCCCATCTCTGATGTCATAACTCCTCCTGCTTCAGGGAGCAGCTAAACCTCCACTTTGCAAAAGCCGCCCCCCCGCCCACCCTGATGTGCTTTCTTTTATCAGGAAAGACACTCAGACCCGGGAATGACTGCCATGAAGAAGAAATATTTTTTTACCAAAGTTCCCTAGAACACAGGAGGTGCTGAGCACTGCAAGGCCACAAGGGGAAGCCGGTTTGGTCAGGAGGTGGGGGACAAGGGGAGGTGTGGGCACGGGCTCTAGTTATGGCTGGTGTGGGAAGGAGAGGGCAAGGCTGGGTCAGCAGCCTCCACGCGTGCTGGTTTGGATCATTTAGGGGACGCTGGGTGTGGGAGTCCCTAGTCGTGTGGCCCAGGAGCCTTTAGAGCGGGGGATGGGATCCTGAGTGGAGTCACATAAAGCGGCTGGGCTCTGGGTTGGCTGCTTTGCATTTTAAACGTCTGCTCCTGGGGTAATTTAACTCTCCCTGGGGATTGGCAGCGCCCCCAGTGTTTGCTGGGAAAGAGGAAAGGCAAAAGGAGAAGGGTTGGCAGAGCACGAGATGGTTAGGTGATGTCACCGACTCAATGGACATGAGTTTGAGCAGGCTCTGGGAGATGGTGAAGGACAGGGGAGCCTGGCGTGCTGCAGTCCGTGGGGTCACAAAGAGCTGGACACGACTGAGTGACTGAACCAGCAACAACCAGGTATTCTTCACATGTTAAAGTCTGAGAATACAGGAGATAGGAGACGTCATTACCACAGGAGATTTCCTAGGCCAAAAACGTCTGACGTATTTTCTTTCCTTCTTTTTTAATCTTCATTCTATGTTGAAGTATAGTCGACTTACGATGTTGTGTTAGTGTTAGGCGTACAGCAGAGTGATTCGGCCAGACAGCATCCATGGTATTTTCTATTGGTTCCTCTGCTAGATGCCGGCTCTGGGAAGAGGCCACGTCTGTTGTTTTTTCCTGTGTATTCCTAGCATTTAGCACTTAGTAGAAACCCAATAGTGAATCAATAAGTGAATGAAATTATGTTTGCTTTGAAACTGAAATTTCAAGAACTGCTTTACTAAGGCCCTAATTGTACATGTGTGTGATTTTTTTTTTTCCCTAAGTGGGACACACTGGTCTTAGTGGCTGGCAGTCCTGAAATGGAGACTGTCAGATCTCCCAAATGTTCTGACAAATATTCCCACTCATCACTTCATGATAAAGTGGTGCCTGGAGGGGAAAATGCAGGCTGAAGGAGGCAGGCACACCTGGAGCCCACGTCATATTTTCTTATCAACTCCTCCCCCCACTTTTGGGGGCAGTGTTTGCTTTGAAAGCATCAAGAGAGAGGGAGGCTTGTACTTTGGCTAAAAGGATATGTTGTCTCCAGCTGACTTGTTTTCTAGACCAGGTCTCTGCTGAGAAGTGATGCTGTGCTAATTCCAACAGAATTAGCTCCTCACCACCCAGACCTCCACAGAGGCCTAATGTGCACCTGGTTTTCCCTAGACATGGACGAATTCCCCTTGGCTGAGGAGCCAAGAAAGCGACTTTTGCAACCGGAAGAAAATGAGGACTTGAGATAGGTAGTTGCCAACTCCCAGCTGTAGAAAAAAGGAATTAAAAAATGGGAGGAAGGGGAGGGGAGATGTGTGGACAGAAGGGGCCTGGGGGACCCTCCTGACACTGGTAGCATCACTTTTTCTGTTAGAAATTTGATTGGGAATAAAGGCCTTGGTTGCTGACTTCATTTGCTTTTCTTTGTTCACTAGTGAGTTGAAGTTTGTTTTTGTGGCGCGTGAGTGGCATATGCTCACTGGGCCAAACTTGACCTTTTGTGATGGGCCTGTTGAAAAATATATCCAGTTTCCTGATTAGTCTGAAAGGACGCTTCACTCCAGCTTCTGAGAAAGTTTATATGTTGAATCTTTTTTTCTTCCTTTTTTTTTTTTTTTTTTTTGTGGTTCCTCATTTTGAGACATGGTGGTGGATTTGTAGGTATTTACACATTATCAGCGTGGATCACACGTACAGGCTGGTCTGGTTTTGAATTTAATGCTGGCAAGAAAAGCTCTTCGTCACTAGGGCTGATAAATTTGCTTCCTCTGGAGTCTGGCTGAACAGGATGGAGAGTTCCAGTGGGCTGGGCAGCTCTGTGACAGCCTTGCTTTTGGGTGAGGTAGGGGGATGGCAGACAGTCATGGGGTGACTGGGAGAATGATGCTGGCAATTTAAAGCTTGGGATAGGGGCCTCTTGACTTGCAGAAAATTCTGAGCAAGAACCAGAATTTCTCTGGGCCTTGGTGCTGACCTCATCTAAAAAGACCATAAACAAATAAAACAAAAACAATAAATACTGGAGAGGCTGTGGAGAAAAGGAAATCCTCCTACTCTGTGGAAATGTAAATTGGTATAGCCACTGTGGAGAACAGCATGGAAGTTCCTTACAAACCTAACAATAGAGCTATCATGTCACCCAGCAACCCCGTTCTTGGGTATTTACCCAGAGAAAACTATCATTTGACATAGTACATGCACCCCAGTGTTTGTCGTTGCTGTTATTCAGTTACTAAGTCATGTCTGAGTCTGTGACTGCATGGACTTCAGCACGCTAGTAACCCTCTTCTTCACCGTCTCCCAAGTGTTTTCAAACTCATGTCCTTTGAGTCAGTGATTTATCCAACCATTCCATCCTCCGTCGCCCTCTTCTCCTTCTGCCTTCAATCTCTCCCAGCATCAGGGTCTTTCCCAATGAGTCGGCTCTTTGCTTCAGATGTCCAAAAAATTGGAGCTTCAGCTTCAGCGTCAGTCCTTCCAATGAATATTCAGGACTGATTTCCTTTAGGATTGACTGGTTTGATCTCCTTGCTATCCAAGGTGCTTTCAAGAGTCTTTCCCAGCACCACAATTTGAAAGCATCAATTCGGCATTCAGCCTGCTTTATGGTCGAACTGTCACATCTGTACATGACTACTGGAAAAACCATAACTTTGACTATATGGACCTTTGTCAGCAAAGTGATGTCTCTGCTTATGAATATGCTATCTAGGTTTGTCAATGCTTTCCTTTCAAGGGGCAAGTGTCTTTTAATTTCATAACTGCAGTCACTGTCAGCAGTGATTTTGGAGCCCAAGAAAATAGAATCCGTCACTATTTCCACACTAATGTTTACTGCAGCACTGTTTACAATAGTCAAGACATGGAAGCCACCTAAATGTCCATTGAAGAGGAATAGGTAAAGAAGATGTACATATATACAATGAAATATTACTCAGCCTTAAAAAGATGAAATAATTCCATTCGCAGCAACATGGATGGGCCTATAGATTATTGTACTGAGTGAAGTGAGTCAGAGAATGAGAAATATCATATGATACTGCTTATGTGTGCAATCTAAAAAATGGTACAGGTGGACTTATTTACAAAACAGAAATAGAGTCACAGATGTAGAAAAAAAAGTATGGTTACCAAAGGGGAAAGAAGGTGAAGGATAAAACTGGGAGATTCAGATTGATATATATACACTATTATATATAAAATAGGTAACTAATAAGGACCTACTGGATAGCACCAAGAACCCTACTCAATGCTCTATAATGACCTATACAGGAAAAGAATGGATACATGTGTATGCACGACTGATTCACTTTTCTATATTGCAGAAACTCACACAGCATTGTAAATCAACTATACTCCAATAAAAATTAATTCAAAAAATTAAAAATTATACTAAAAAAAAAGCCAACACAAAACCAAAGTTAGAAGTCAAAGCCAAAGATACTCAGCCTCTCTTGATGCAACAAACAGTAGCCTCTTGAACAATGAAAGAGTCACAGGCTAGAGAGGAACTGCTGGGAAGAATGACATTTCAGGATATTCTGCTTCATCAAGATCAACAGATGTAAAGACCCATGTGTCTCAGAGTGTGTTCAGGAAATAAGAAAACAACAGAAAGAAATAGAAGGAGGCAACTTTGACCCTACGTTGTCTAACTTCTTCAATGTGAAATGACACTTGTCATGTTTGTTTAAGCCACTTCTCCTCACCACGCTAGGAACTTCCTGATCACTCTTAGGAGTGATACTGATTTTGATTACATCTTTGAAGGGTTTGGATGATACTGTAATAAGGAGAAATGGATCAAAATGTAAATAAGGTTCATCGTGAGGAGACCAGCCCTTGATTCAGCCCTGCTATCACCATGTAGCTTATTTCCCACAAGCAGGGAGAAAAGGCACTTTGTACCTTCATACAAAAGAAAAATAATACAGCCACTCTGTCTAGTTTCAGTTGCTGCAAAGAACAAAAGCTTGAGCATTTCCTGTAAGCCTGGACTCTCAGCAGGAACCACATCATCCTGGCTTTGGGTTAATGTCTGAGGCTGTACCACATCAGGATGTAAGGAGCTGATCTTTTCCCACCATGAGC